ACGCCACACTGTTCACAGTACTGGATCTACGATCAGGGTATTAGCGACTGCCGATAAAAAAAGAGTGATCGAAATAAAACAGCATTTACTGTACGTGATAAGCAGTACCAGCTCAGACGAATGTCGTTCGGGTTGGCATGTGCACCGTTTACATTCAGAAGAATAATGATGCTGCTGCTCAAGAACCTAGCGAATGTTGAGGTGTGTGGCGACGATGTAGTAGTGTACAGCCGAACGGAAGTGGATCATGTTAACCATGTGGAAGCTGTCCTAAAGCGGATTGAAGAATTCGGACTACGAATTAATAAGGACAAATCACAAATAGCGAAAAGTAGTGTCATCTTGTTGGGGCATAAAGTTGGAAATGGAGAAATAAAACCGTTGCCGGAGAAAATCCTAGCCATAAAGAACATCGCGGTACCTAATTCCAAAAGGAAGCTGAGACAGTTTCTTGGAAGGGCGGCGTTCTACAGTCGATTCGTCAAGAACTTTAACGAAGAAGCAGCACCCCTCTATAAGTTGTTAAGCAACACTAAGTTTACGTGGACAGAGACTGCCCAGCAAACGTTCGACCGTATCAAAAACCTATTGGACTGCCGTTGGATGACGCTACGATTACCTGAACCTGAAAAACTGTTTACAGTGGCAACAGATGCGAGTGACTGTGGAATAGGCGCCTTCTTAAGTCAATCTAACAGTGTGATAGAATACGCAAGTCACGTCCCCACACCCTCTGATCAGATGTATTCAACGATCGAGAAAGTGTCTAGCGATTTTCTCGTTGGGGCAGATATTGACGAACGGCAGATGCACAACGAGGTATTAATGGTGCTTCAACAAAAGGAGAGACTGAGGATCAGCACATATGTAGCCCTGATCTGGCGAGATGATGATGATGAAATTTGGGTGGCAGTGATCCCGAAGAACTTGCGGCATAAGATGATACAGGAGTGTCACCATCTAGCTCATACCGGTATCACACGAACGACTGATCTAGTAAGACAAAGTGCGTATTGACCAGGTATGAGAGACGATGTGGCGCAATATGTGTTGACTTGCCAGCGGTCCCAACTAATGAAAAGTAATCGATACATACAGCCGCCATCGCAGTCAGTTCCCGTAACTGCAGTTTGTGATCTATGGTCAGTGGATGTCATGGGACCGTTCCCGCAGACGGCCAGCGGCAATCAATACCTGGTGGTGATGACAGAACGTGCCACACGGTGGGTAGACGCCGTACCGATTCCAGATCAGCGGGCAAAACCAGTGACGGAAGTAGTCATCCGGCACATTGTGGCATGTCATGGAATACCGAAAACAATATTAATTGATCAGGGTCCCTGTTTTGAAAGTGACGAGTTTAAGTCCCGTCTGGAACAGTTCGGTATCAAGAGAATACGAACTACACCATATCATCCACAGACTAACTGGCTTACAGAAAGAAACAACCGAACGTTAAAGGGAGTGGTTAGCCTCTAAAGGAGGGAATCGGGAGAAGGAATTACCACTAATCTTGCTGGCGCATCGTGCCTCAATACAAGGAACAACCAAGAAGAGTCACCTTTCTTGTTTATGTACGGGAGACATCCGCGACTTCCAATGCACAATAAGACAAGGCCGCAACAACAGTAGTGGACGGCAACAAGGTTAAAGAAGGAGAGGAGGGAGGCAGTCAGCAATATAAAGAAGAAACAGATGTCGCACACAACGACAGAACAGCAGAGTAGGCAGTGGAAGCCGTTTAAAGTGGGGGACCTGGCAAAATGTAGAGAACGGAAAGGCACCGTAGCATGGGGACAAGGATCAGGGAAGCTGCTCCCGAAATGGGAAGGACCGTACATTGTTATTGAGAGACGTGGCTCTGTTTACACGATACGGAGAGGGGACAACCAAAAACGCGTGAATGCTTGTCAACTGCAGAGATGGTTTCAAGGGCAGAATGAGTGCGAATCGCAAACGGTAATCAAGAAAACGGGTCCACGGCGATCGGAAAGACTGCGAAAACAACTTATTAAAAGGGGGGACGAGTGTGGTGTAAGCTACTTATGTTCACATAAGTAGTATATGATATCAAACGGAAATCAAACGTCTGACAGCAAAAAGTCGAGAGGGAAAGAATGAGAACAGAGGGCGATTTGTAGGTAACGTAAAGCGAACTGAAGTCCGAACAGTCTAAATGAAAGAACACTGAAATCTGAAACAAATAAGGATTAGTTTGCAAATTATGATTTCACGGGAAGTTTTTGTACATATGATTAACAACTCTGTAATATTCGCTTAAATATAGATGTTGATGTCCTCACCTGAGTTTCCGTGCACAACATTTGGGTCTCTAACCATCGATTATTATCACCTCGCAGACCCAAACCAGATCGCCTACATCTACCAACATGACTCAGTACACTTGTCAGTGACTTCATGGATTTGTGCCATGTTTTGGTTTGGCCGCCCCAACCTTTCGTCCAACCTACTCTTACACTACAAAACATAGCTCGTCGCGGCAGTCGGTGGTTAGCCATTCGTAACACATGTCCCAACCACCTCAACTGATGAAGTTTCACTACTTCATCTATTGATTTGCCATCCCTACCTAGAACTCGTTTCCGAACGACAGCATTGTTTATACGATTGTCCCAGGATACACGAGCAATGCTTTGGAGACACCTATGATCAAAGACTAGTAATCTACGGAAGTCCTTTACTCTTAACGGCTATGTTTCCCAGCCATATAGTAGGACGGGTCGAACTGCTGCACAGTACGCTCATCCTTTTGTTAGCAAGCGGATATCTCGCCTACGCCATAAGTGACGCAGGTTGGCAAAAGCCAATCATGCATTCTGTAACCGTGCTGAGATTTCTTCAGTCACCAGGCCATCGGCACTGATGAGACTTCCCAGATACGTGAAGCAGTCTACACGTTCGACTACTTCACTCCCTATCACTACTTCAGGTGCCGATGTAACCCAATCTTGGAGCAACATTTTGAATTTCGAGCGTGAGAACCGCATCCGGAACATGCTTGCATTGTGGCTTAGGTTAGTCAGAAGACTCTGTATCTTGTCAGCGTCTTCATCGAATAGAACTATATCATCGAACGGTAAGTATCCTAGCGCACTTACAAATTTAATAAATTATTTGCAGTATAAATATTTAGGTCCCTTTTCGTACCAGTATCAATATGTTTAAATATTTAATAATGATTTCAGCGAAATCATTCAACAATAAATGGTTAGGATTAGAAAGCTTGAACTATGTACAGCTGGCTATCAGGTTACTCTTCAATGTGGTTTTTATTATTATTATTATTACTATTATTATTATTATATTATTATTATTACTATTATTATTATTATATTATTGTTATTATTATTATTATTACTATTATTATTACTACTACTACTACTACCACTACTACTACTACTACTACTATTATTATTATTATTATTATTATTATTATTGGGACATGCAACGTCGGCGAGTTGTAGTGAAGCGTATGTTTGGAGATCGCCAAATTAATAGGAGTAAAAAAATATATGCCCAACCAATTGATAATGGTATAATGTGGCCGAATGATCACTCTTATCATAAGACTGAATCATTGGCATCCAGCACCCAGTTAATGTAATATCAGGCGACAAGATAGCTGTTTTAGTCAAAGTGGTGTTTTGTTTCCATCAAGATAAACTATCTGGTTTAAATCTTACTCTGTTTTATTAATTATATTATATTTGTGTTGTATTTGATGTGACATCAAAACGAATAGGAGGTTTCTTGTGTTTTATTGATGAAGCCTTTGTGATTGGATCGCAATTATGGGAGCGATTGTATGATCTAGTACGATTCTTGATTATTTCGTTTAGGTTGCTTATTATATAGGACCGATCGATAACCTTCGGCTAACTAGTAGTGACATTAGGACTTTCGATTAGAAAATAACTCAATGGCAGCAAAGCAATAACCGACGTCAGTACCTGTTGTAACGCTTGCTTAAATAATTCCCAGTTAAATTCTATTGCTTAGTATTCTCTGACCACTCAACACACTGGACAAGTTCCAAAAAATCAAAAACACGGTTGAACAGGAAAAGATTATATTCCAAATAGCAAGGTTAAATGGAAGAAGCCAGATGTGATGGCGAAGGCGAAGGCAAAATAGATGCAACGTTAGTTTCTTTGTCGTATTTACATGAGAAGCTTCTGGACAGTGATTCACGTGATCGACTGGATTAGATTTAGCCAATCAGAGTGCAGCTAACAACAATACGAGAACTTTCTACCCTGTCCTCCAAGAATCGATCAGGCGCTGATTGGATAGGAAATTAGCCAATCAGCGCACAGCTGCGCGTAGTCATGCTTTAAGTCCATCTGTGTCCCACTAGCAGTACCCAACGATTATTAGTCCAAAATACAAGTATCCGACACTAGCTTGCTCGTGAATGTTCATCATTTGAGGTAGTTGGACATTTGTTACATAGCCACCAACTGCCCCGACGAGCGATGTTTTGTGATATAGGGGTAGGCTGGAAGAAAGCTAGGGGCGGCTAGACCGAAACATGGCAGAAACGCATGAAGTCACTGACAAGTGGACTGATCCATGTTAGTAGGTGTAGACTATCTGGTTGGGGTCCGCGAGACAATAGTAACCGATGGTTAGAAACATGGCTCAGATGCATCCATTCGTCGTGCTCTCTCAAATCCTAATCTTCTGAATTCCTCATCACCTCCATCTTTCTCTTTCTAAATTAATTTCACTGAATTAAACTTCTTGAATAATATCTTCTCTCCCTAATGTTCGCCATCACTACTAATACTTCTGCTACTACTACTACTACCTCTATTACTATGGGATTTGGATTGACAATTGTGTCTCTGTGTTAATATGGTATGGCAACTTGAATGCTGATGTACGTACGTACGTACGAAGTTCTACGTTGTAAAACTGACTGACAAGTAGGATATTTTTGAAAATTCAGCTTCACTCATTACTCTTTTCATTGTCAGGAATTGTTTACAATCGGTCGATCGAAGAATACTGAAACCTCGTATTTGTATCAAAGATTTCCAGGTAAATAGTGATCTTTATTATTATTATCAGTGAGTCAGTCAGTCAAGTCAATTGTTTTTTGGTTTCATGAAGCTGTGTATAGGTTGAGATTGACATACTATAGTAGTAGTCAATAAGTAGTATATGAAGTCCCGACCGTAGCTGCTACCTTGACGTGGCGGTCGGGCTTGACTATCGTGATGACCCAGCCGAACTATACTGGCTGGAACGTATGTTCCGGAAGGTTCTACCATGCCAGGCAGGTCGATTGGAGAACGATGAGACTAAAAGCAGCTACCCAAGGTCTGAGGGCGAAGTCGTACTGCTGACTGTGATGGAGGGGTGTGTCAGCAGTAAGGTGTTTCCCTCGGACAACCAGCATCTGCAGCGATGCTGCCTTCTCACAAGGAAGGAAGGGTTAGAAAAGGTCGACCCTAAAAATGTCACACCTCACCCTACCTCACGGATTTCCGTCTCCTTGGGTAAGGGTACCCACTAAGGGCCTTTAAGAACGGAGCTAATCCTCAAAAAACCTTTCCTAAAAAGGCCGTGCGTGACCGGCCTCAAGCAGTTGTCCCTTGGACTCTGCGGTCACGCATCCAGGTCTCTAAGACCAACACTAATCTATCTTCCTTTTCAGGTCCCTCAAGAAACAACCTTCCATGGTGTGGGCAGCCGGGAAGTTACATCCGCCCTCATACCCGTAACAGCACACGAGACAAAATATAATCAAAATCAAATCCTTCCTACACCCCGTAGTACCTCTCTTATCTCCATGACTAACTCTTCTCTTCTAGTATATAAATTTACTCATTTTGTACATTGTTTGTTGTTCAATCAACATAACACCGAAGTAGAATCGTAAAAATTCTTTAGTTTACAAAAATTAAGATACATTCGTTCATTTTTTTCTCTCTCTCTTCAAAGTACTCGTAAGTTTTATCAAATACAATTTTGTCGTCAGGCTTTATACTGTAATATATATGAAAATTTTAAACCAATCAAGGCAATTTGTGGGTCAGTAATCACAATGAACTAGATTACGTCACTATACATTATAGGTAAAAGTATAAGTGGAGAGTAGGAAGATGACAGGTGTACTGGTAGTGTAGTACTTTTCAGTCAGTCAGTTACAATGTAGAACTTCGTACGTACGTACGTACATCAGTTCAAGTTGCCATACCACATTAGCACAGAGATGTAATTGTCACTTCAAATCCTATAGTAGTAGAAGTATTAGCGGTAATGGAGAAGATTAGGGTTCTAAGATATCATTCAAAAAGTATATAATTCAGTGAGATAAATTTAGAAAGACAAAGGTAGAGATGTTGAACAATACAGAAGATTAGGATTTGAGAGGACACAAAAAGATGGATGCACCTGCGCCATTGCAAAGGATTTTGAGCCATCGGTCACTATTATCTCGCGGTCCCCATCCACGTAGTCAACACCTACCAACATGACTCATTATAGTTGTCAGTGACTTCATAGATTTGTGCCTTGTTTTGGTTTGGCCGCCCCAAAGTTTCTTTTAACCTTCTCCTATACTGTAAAACATAGCTCACCGAGGCAGTCGGTGGTTGGGCATACGTAATACATTTTCCAACCTCTTCAACATGTACTTTTACTTGTTATGTCTGATTATTTACTCATAAAATGCCTTGATTGGTTTAACATTTTCATATAAATATTCATGTATATTAGAGTAAAGCCTGTTGTCGATCTAATTAAAAACAATATTAATCTCGTACATATGTTTCGCTCTAATTTTCACTATGAGAATCTTTAATAACTTAAATACAGTTGTTCACTCTTCATTTTCTTCTACAAAAAATCCCTGAACATCGACAAACACTCTAGGTGCCTTTTACTAGACACTTCTCGACATGACTCGTTGCCAGTAATCAATGACTTTAGGAGCTAATACGAGTACTGTACTGTTACGGGTATGAGGGTAGATGTCACTTTCTGGCTGTGGAAGGGTGTTTCTTGAGAAACCTGAAAAGAAAGGTGGATTAGCGTTGGTCGTAGAGACCTGGGATCGTGACCGCAGAGTCCAAGGGACAACTACTCGAAGTCGATCACTCACGGCTTTTTTATGAGAAGTTTTTAAAGTGTTAGCTCTGCTCAGACCTTGAGTAGCTGCTTTTAGTCTAATCGTTCTCCACTAGAGCTGTCTGGCATGGTAGAACCTATAGGAATATATGTTCCAGCCAATATAGTTGGGTTGGGTCATCAAGATAGGCAAGCACGACCACCACCATATCAATGTAGCAGCTACGGTCGGGCTAGGAACTGATATTATGCTAATAATAAATCTTTTCAGGCTAATCTATTCATATGTTAGCCACTATTGTAACTCCTAAATAGGTAGTTTGTTTGTGCGCGCGCGCGCGCGCATGTGATGACACGTTCCCACTAAATAATCTTGTGCTTTTCGGTCTACAGAAAAAATCTCCCAGTTAGTTACGCAATACAATAATTTGTTAAATTATTTTCTAAAAGGCTATTTCCTTTTTTATCTCTCTTTCAAGGTGGTTTAATTCCTCAATGTTTACCAATTAATAATCTTGTTCAAAATATTAAATTATTTCGTCAGAAACGTGCTCAACTACCAAGTTATAAGTGAGTTTATGCAGGAGTTTTTCTATAACCATCGCTTGTATAATGCTTGTTCATTTTGTGTGTCTGTGTGTGTGCGTGTGTGTAAAGAGTTTGGTTTGTTTGTATGTAGTCCTAAAGTTATTGTATTTGTTTGTTGACATCGTTTCGCTCTCTAACATTATGAACTGTTTGTTTAGCTTTGACATTGCAGTTTACAAATGAATTTGAAAATTCAGTTGAAATGTAAATGTTTAGAATTATCAGTACATTTAGTTCCAAAGAATGTTTTGTGATGACACAAACTACTGAGTTTTCATTGTAGAATTATGGAAATTGTTGTTTCTTACCATAAATCACTATAAGAAACTTGGAAACACTGGATGACCGTTTCGTCCTGGTACGGGACTCATCAATGGCAGTGCGGATCCACGACTCCTGCTTCTCTCAGGATTCGAACCCAGGACCTTCGGTCTTGCTTGCTAATGCCTAACTTCTGGACCACTGGGCCGGCATCCAACGATGTTAATGTCTCACTCTGATCGACCTAGGGATTTTTGCGCTACCTAACCCATTGTGTTTGGTAGTTACTGCCTACACCCGACAGGGTTAAAATCCACTGATCACGTCTCCTCGCTAAAACTCCGAGAATTTCCTCACGAAGCTAGTAGTCACTAGTGAGCGGAGTGTACGATTTTTCATTACAGAACTATGGATATAATTATTTATTACTGTTAGCATATTCATCCAATATCCTAAAAGAATTATATGTCGATTCCTATTGGTTAATTTCTACTGGTCAATTTTATGGTCGTCCTAGATATCAATGTCACGTGCTCCAATGATGTTTCTTATTGGTTGACCTGACTATCAATGTCACTTCAAATGTTGCTTCCTATTGGTCGCCTTAACTTCCAATGTCATAGAACTCGATGCTTTTTCCTATTCGACCAAAATGTATAAATACGCATTTTTTGTAACGTTTTATGACAAGGACCAGGACCCGGTCCCAGATCCCTAGTCCGGGATCCTGGTTCACTTCTGGATTCAGACCTCGTACTTTCTGAATGCTTGTAGAATACAGGTTCTACTTCATATCAAGTCTTCTTTGTTTTACTCAATATGGAGGTTGGGATAATCGGATTTGAGTAGCATGTCGTGTCCCCGGATCCTCGATCCTCGCTCTCGTTTCCCGACTAGGTAAACTCGTAATAGTTCAAGCATATTAAAATAACGTGTTTACGTGCAGGCGTAACAATTACTATCCACTGCTTCCAGGTTTCTAACGCTACTCTAACAATGACTGATTTATGATTTCATTAATAAACTACTGAGTAATAATAAGTAGTACAAATGATAAACAAAATGGAACACGTCTAACTTCCAAGTACTGTATTCAAATTTTAGTTGATAATGTTTTTTTAGGAATTTTAAAATGTCCAAACTAGTTTGTAGTTCGGTTTCTTTCGCATTTAAGCTTGAAATTTCCATATGTAAATTGTAACAGGTTTCAAATTATTAATTAAAGCATATTATTCTACACTTTTAATTAATAATAATATTTTTTCCCCAAATGTTCATTTTGTTTATAGCAATTTAGTCGGTGTATCACAAGCTCGTTACCAATCACCTTTAGTACAAATCATGAAAGATTTAATATTAGCTCGTGAAAATCCTTCTGAAGCTAGTCCTGCATTAAATGGCCTAGTTCGTAAACCGTGTACATCTTTATCAACTAATTGGTTTGGAGAATTAAGGTAATTTTTCTTTTCTCAAAGAATAGTAGTGTATTTCGTTGTGATTATCATTGTGTATTTCCTGTTCGTATTTCTCTTATTAAATACAAAAAATTCCTTAGGGGCTAGTATACTGACTTGAACTGATGTACGTAAGTACGAAGTTCTACGTTAAGCGACGTTAAGCTTCATAATCAAACAGGGTGATACACTTACTTACTTACGCCTGTTACCCCCAATGGAGCATAGGCCGCCGACCAGTTTTCTCCAACCAACTCTGTCCTGGGCTTCCCTCTCCAATTCTGTCCAATTTTTGTTCATTCTTCTCATATTTGTCTCCATTACTCAGCGTAATGTGTTCCTTGACCTTCCTCTTTTCCTTTTGCCTTGAGGGTCCCATGTGAGGGCTTGTCTCGTGACGCAGTTAGGTGCTTTTCGTAGTGTGTGTCCTATCCACTTCCACCGCTTCTTCCTGATTTCCTCCTCCACTGGAATCTGGTTTGTTCTCTCCCACAGTACGTTGTTGCTGATCGTGTCTGGTCAACGAATCCGAAGTATTTTGCGAAGACAACTGTTCATAAATATTTGTATCTTCTAGAAGATGGCTTTAGTAGTTCTCCGAGTTTCCGCTGAATACAGCAGTAGAACTGTCTTGACATTTGTATTGAAAATCCTTATTTTGGTTTTGGTTGAACGTTGTTTGGAGTTCCAGATATTTTTCAACTGTAGAAATGCAGCCCTCGCTTTGCCACTCCGCGCCCTCACATCTGCATCCGATCCACTTTGGTTGTCGATGATGCTGCCCAGATATTTAAAGTTGTTAACGTCCTCCAAGGCATCTCCATCAAGAGTAATTTGGTTGGTGCATGTTGTGTTGCATCGGTGAATTTTGTTTTTTCCTTTATATATTTTGAGACCTACTGCTGCAGAGGCTGCTGCTACACTGGTCGTCTTATCCTGCACTTGTTGTTGCGTGTGCGATAGAAGAGACCGGTCATCTGCAAAGTACAGATCGTCCAGCTGCGTCCTAGCTCTTCAGTTGATACCGTGCTTCCCTCCAGATGTTGACGTCTTCATAATCCAGTCGATGACCAGGAGAAAGAGAAAGGGTGAGAGTAAACAACCGGTCTTCACCTCGAAAGAGTCTGCTAGCTGTCCTTCGTGTACGATTTTGCAGTTGAATCCATCATAAGAATTCCATATGATGTTAAATATCTTCTCAGGCACGCCGTAGTGTCGAAGAAGCCTCCACAGTGTTTTTCTATCCACGCTATCGAATGCTTTCTCGTAGTCGATGAAGTTGATGTAGAGTGGTGAGTTCCATTCAATTGATCATTCCACAATGATCCGTGATGTAGCAATTTGGTCAGTACTCGATCGATCCTTACGAAATCCAGCCTGATGGTCTCGAAGTTGGGCGTATTCGAAGTCCTTCATTCTGTTTAACAATACTCTGTTGAAGACTTTGCCTGTTATTGAAAGAAGAGTGATGCCTGTGTAGTTCTCACACTTGCTGAGATCGCCTTTCTTTGCTATTTTGATCAGGTATCCTTCTTTCCAATCTGATGGTACTTGTTCCTCATCCCAAATCTTCTTGAAGAGGATGTGAAATATTTTCGCAGTTGCTTCTACATCTGCTTTCATTGCCTCTGCTGGAATGTTGTCTGGTCCTGCTGCTTTGCCGTTCTCGATTTGTCTGATGGCCATACTGATCTCCTCAATCGTAGGTGCGCCAATATTAATTGGGAGGTCCGTGGATGCTGCTTTGATGTTGGGTGTGTTCAGTGGAGCTGGTCGATTCAATAGTTCCTTAAAGTGCTCTACCCACCTATTTCGCTGTTCAGTGTTGCTGATTACTTTGCCTTCCTTGCTTTTCACCGGTCAATCTGGTTTACGATAGTTTCCAGCAAGCTTCTGTGCTGTTTCGTACAAGTGTTTCAAGTTTCCTCCTCTTGCAGCCTTTTTGTTTTTCATTGTTAGATCTTCCACATATTTTCGTTTGTCGACTCTGATGCTCTTCTTCACTTTCTTGTTTGCTTCTGTGTATTCAGCTTGTGCCTTAACTTTCTCTGCTCTTGTTCGGCTGACATTGATTGGTGCCCTCTTGTTCCTACTTTCTTCAATTTTTTCAAGAGTACCAACAGAGATCCACTCCTTGTGACCCAGAACGTCGTGACATGTTGAAGTGATTGCCTCCTTGGTCCTTTTCAATTGTTCTCCAATGTTGCTTTCTCTCCATTGAGAATATCATGCAAGGCCTGGAACCTTTTGTTGAGGGCTATCTTGAATTCGTTGAGTTTCACGGTATCCCGAAGAAAGGCTCTCATCATAGAAAAGCGGTTGCTATTAGATACCTTTACAGCTCACTAAAACAACTGATGTTGATGACGCAATTGTATTCATTGTTCATTAGTATTTTTCAACTCTGTAATCGTTATCAATGGATCGTTTAGACCATGTATCTAGAATAAGTAACAATACTGAATATATTGTATGATATAAAGCTTCCACGGTGGTTTGGCCAACCGGAAAGTAACATTCCCCTCATAGCCGTAACAGCCAAACAACACAAAATTTGTTACAATCAAATCTTTCCCACATGCCCTAACATCCTTCTTATCTTCACGATTGATGATATAGAAACTTCTAGATATTTTCAAAACAAACCTCCGTAGCTACGAATGGACTAGTGTTTGAGGACAGGCCAGCGCATTGATGCCACCTAAAGGTGGTTATTGTATTATATAACTAACTACAGATAGAGTCCGTATTCATAATGTAGAAACCAGTTGTCATTTCATAAATACACATCACATTGCTGTTAAACGTGTCAGTTTTTGTCGATTCCGGAACATGTTGATGTTCGTAGCAAAAAAAAGTCGATTAGTCTTTATGACTACATATTTTACAACCTCATACATTTATAAGAAACCTTTCTTTTTAATAGTAATTCAGGGATAAAGAACACCATCGTCGAATTGAGTTAGCGCAGAATTATTATTTTGCACTGAAAGGGTAACATTGTACTTCAGTTCATTGTGGACAACAGAAATTTAGTGCTTTGACAAAAAGTGTAACCCCACGTGGATGATTGTGGAGTGGTGGCATTTCGTTCTCTGGGCTGGATGTTTTGGTTACGAAGCTTTCACTATTCTTCTTCTGAACAACTTGATCATCAGCACAAACTTCTATCTGAAGTTTGAGTGTAACCTCACTCCCTCAACTCCATATAACACTGTAGTCAACAGTTAATAGTCAGTCAGTTGCAACGTAGAACTTCGTACGTATGTACATAAGTTCATGTTGCCATACCACATTAGCACAGAGACGCAGATGTCAAATCAAATCCCATAGTGATAAAGATAGTAGAGGTATTAATGGTAATGAAGAAGACTAGGGTTTGAAGATATTATTCAAGAAGTATGATTCAGTGAGATAAAGTTAGAAAGACGAAGGTAGAGGTGCTGACGAATCCAGAAGATTAGGATTTGAGAGAGCTCAACGAATGGATGCACTTGCGCCATTGCAAACGATTTCGAACCATGTCGTTCAAGGTCTCTAAACATTGGTGACTTCCATCTCGCGGAACCCAACCAGGTAGCCTGCATCCACAAACATGATTCAGTCCACTTGTCAGTGACTTCACGCATGTGCCATGTTTTGGTTTGGTCGCCCCTAACTTTCTTCCAACCTACTCCTACACCACAAAACATAGCTCGTCGAGGCAGTCGGTGGTTAGGCATTCGTAACACATTTCCCAACCACCTCAACTGATGAAGTTTCACTACTTCATCTATTGATTTGCCATCCTTACCTAGAACTCGTTTCCTAACGACAGCATTGTTTACTCGGTTTTCCCAGGATATACGGACAATGCTTCTAATACATCTATGATCGAATACTAGTAACCAACAAACATCTTCTACTCTTAACGGCCATATTTCGCATCCATATAGGAGAACGGAGAGAACAGCTGCGCAGTACACCTGTCCTTTTTTTTTAGCGAACGAATATCTCGCAATATTGTTCACGTGATATGTTTTACATCACCCGTACAAACTGTTTTACGTCATATATCTTTAAAAAATCCCACTTTTCTTTAATCACGTATAGTCGATTCATTCGAATTCCTGGTAGTGGTAGCAGTAGCAGCAGCAGTGGGAGTATCGGTGAAAATGAGAAATTCCCATTATATAAATCGGATTATATTATTTTAATACCAATTGGAAATGGTAGTCTACCTATTAGATTATGTCGAGATTTATTTGAAACTATTAATACATCATCTCATTCAATGATGGTCAATAACAAGTTGTGTTCAATGTTCAAAGTAAGTAAGATTGTTTTACTTATCTCAGATATATATACATACACATGCATATTAGTGATATTTTTTTATTTGTACTTAAAAAAAATGCTATGAATAGATTGTTAGCGTTATACACCATCGTTGTGGTGGTGTTTTGTTCTCTGAGCTGGTTGTTTTGGTTGTGGAGCTTTCATTGTTCTTCTGCGCACAACAACATCATCAGCACAAACTTCAGATAGAAGTGAAGCATTCGAATTTCTCCACGTTTGACATGTCTGTAGCTTGTTCTGCTAACCTCGATCTTGATTGGTTGCTGTTGACTTTTGACCTGTCGTTGTTTGCAACTTTGTTTTGATTGCACCCCCATTTTGATTTGTTTCTTGATCCTGTGTCACCTATGATTTTTCTGATTGGTTGATAAATTGAGTCTATGTCGATGTGTTTGTTGATTGCTGATTGGCCATGTTGGCATATACAAATCATCTCGTCGAGATTATGGTCCATGCTATTTACCACAATCTCAAGTAGTGTGGCTAGAAATGTCGAGTGACTTCAATCTTCTTTATTTTACTCTGTCTAGATCTTCAGTTCCAGTATTTCTTCATACATAATTTATCATTTCGTCTTCTGTAATTCAATCCTTGTTTTGTTCTACTGATAATGAAATCACTATTATTTCGATTCCTTAATGATGTATTATGGTAATTTCATTTCATCGCGCTGATGTGACATTGCAGTTTGGTAGCTGAGTAAAAATCACAAAAATAGACTGACTTGGCGGTATTTCTAACTTTGGTTTTTCTATTAATCTCTGTCAAATTTGATTGCAGTCACCAGTTTCACTCTCCCAATCAGTCAGTCAGTCCATTACAATGTGGAGCTTCGTAAGTATGTATATCCGTTCAGGTTACCATACCACATTAGCACCTAGACTCAATTGTCAATTCAAATCCCATAGTGGTAAAGATGGTAGAAGTATTAGTGGTAATTAAGAAGATTATGGTTGGAAGATATTATTCAAGAAGTAGAATCTAGTGATATAAACTTAAAAAGAGAAAGAATTTGTATATTCAACCTCAATTTATGTGTTCAGAAGAAATTTGTGACACCCCTATCTCTTCCGTGCCTGAATATGACGTAACTAACGATTGACATTATATATTTTTTATTTTTACATATTTGCTTATTACGTAATGGTTTTGATGTTTTTTTACTGTTTATTTGAAGTCTATTCATCCACCTTTGACCTACGTACTATTGATAAAACTTTAGTTATCATATTTTATAATTTTCTTACTACTATTGAGAAGACTGAGGCAGGCGCGGTAGATTGTATTTGGCAAATTTACACTCTTAGTCAATTAAAAACGAAAACATTACATTGAACACTCTATTTGCACACCATCTTTGAGTCGTGACTTCCAACGCTCCATCCTTCTTCCATTCCTGCTGTTGCTTCCTTTCCTTCCTCTGTTGGTACTCCATTTGCTTTCCGTTTTCCTCTTCTGACCGTGAGACTTCTTCTATCACGTCCCTCCTAATACTACTTATATCGTTCGTATAAGTAGCACACACCACACTATCAGTACACCTGTCTTCCTACTATCAACAAGATTATTATCAGTGTAAGTATTCTATGGGATACACACTGCTAAGAAATTCCCTCAATAGGAGGATACATTATCTGTCCAGTTCTTTTTAGTTTTCAACAATTGTCTAAGTAAGGTCAAATCTATTGTAGTGAACGAGAACACAGGTGAGGGCAACCGAATTGTATTTAACGAAAATTACAGAGTTACTCAGTCAGTAAAATCGGAAAACCATATCGTAAATCGTTCATTTGCAAAATATCAGTTCATCATATCGAACTGGACTGTTCCTGTTGCAAACAACATCAATCCATTGTCACTATTCATGCGTTTCATAAAAAATTCCATTGTTTTCTAACTCTTCGTTTCTTGATCTTTCCCCATCTTCCGCTGCAAGACATTACGTTGACACTCACGTCATATACTACTTATAAGTAGCTCGCACTACACTATGATATAATTAGCATATATTTTTTTTTAGAAAATGAGTTTTTCTTAACTTGCTGTTTCTCTTTTTTTTCTCCTTCCTCATGTGTTTATAATTTAGCTGAAAATTATTACCAGTGGGTTCAGTGGTGGACAAGGTGGATTATCAAGTCTTTTATACATGGATATGTGATAATAATAATAATAATTACTATTATTTATTTTCAACTGGTCACTATTACTATTTCTCAGTGTCGGCAAGATTTTCGTCTGATTCTTTTGGGTGGTGGCGTGTACACTTTTTACTGTGCCCCTGCCTCAAATATGAACTGTCCAATTGTCGGTAGAGGCCAAGAACGAAGTGAAAATTTAGATGACCGGTGACTTTTTCTGTGTGAATGAATCGTTGAAAAAACCAATTGTTTTTCTATGTTCATCTGTCCTTTTTTTGAATAATTTATACTTTTTGTGTATACTACTGATAAGTGATAATGTTAGTAATCATGTAATTGTTTATTTTTGATTTTTCTAAAAGAAAATTACTTACAACTATGATCATCTTGAGAATTATTTTCTCCTGGTTAACGTTTTTTAGCGATTTGGTTTTCTACGGGATAGGGTCGCCCAACCCTCCTCGTTTACCCATTCTTGGGGCCGACAGTAGCCCGATTGGGGGTTTTGGGAGGAGGTAAAGACCGGTATCAGGCAAGGTCGCTTACTCTCACCCTTTCGCTTTCACCTGATGATTGACTGGATGATGAAGACGTCAACATCTGTGGGGGAGGACGGGATATAGTGGACAACTAGGATGTAGCTGGACGATTTGTACTTCGCAGATGATCTGGCTCTTCTATCGTTTACGCAACAACAAATACAAGGGAAGACGATCAGTTTAACAGTAGCAGTAAGTTTCGACATACACAAAGGGAGGAGATTCTCCATTTCAACATAACATGCACCAACCAAGGCACACTTGATGGAGATGCCTTGGAGGACCTTAATACCTTTACATATCTGGGTAGCATTATTGACGAGCAATGTGGATCTGGTGCAGTTGTGAAGGTGCGGGTTGGCAAAGCAAGGGCTGCATTTCTACAATTGAAGAACTTCTGCAATTCAAAACAACTATCAACCAACCAATATCAAAGTTACAATTTTCAATACAAATGTCAACACAGTTCTACTGTATGGGACGGAAACTTGTAGAACTACGAAAACCATCATCCAGAAGATACAAGTTTTCATTAATAGTTGTCTACACAAAATACTACGGATCCGTTGGCTAAACACAACCAACCTACTCTTCGAAAGAACAAACCAGATTCCTGTGGAGGAAGAAGCACTAGAAGTGGTTGGGACATACATAAAGGAAATCACACAACTGTACTGCAAGACAAGTCCTCACTTCTAATCCTCAAGTTCAAAGGGAAAGAGGAAAACCCAAGAACATATTACTCTGAGTATTGGAGACAGACATGAGGAGAATGAACAATTATTGCACAGAAGTGGAATGGGAACCACAGGACAGAGTCAGTTGGAGAATACTGGTCGGCGGCCTATGCTCCATTCGGGAGTAACAGGTATAAGGTTACGACCATCAACACTGCTGATTCTTTGAACTAGAGGAATTGTTTATCAATGTTGATATGATACAAATTTATTACTTCTCCTGTTGTTAGCTAACTGATTTTCATTGATATGAAAATGTTTGGAGTTGATATATATTACTTACTTACGTCTTCTATCCTTAATGGAGCATAGGCCGCCGACGCGGCATTCTTCAATCCGACTCTGTCCTGGGTTCTTCTCTTCCAGTTCTATCCAATTGCTGTTCATTCTTTTCATGTCTGCTTTCAATTCTCGACGTAATGTGTTCCTTAGTTGATATACATATATGTGTATGTAACTAAATGGTTAGTATTGTGATGTAATTTGTTGATAGAAAGTGGATAAAATTGTTTCAAGTGTAATGATCATAACAATATAGAGGTCGTTAGTCAAGTTTAAACTGCTGCATACATTTAACTTCGAATTATAATCGGTTTTTTAGAGATTGTGTTACGAATTCAAATTCTGTGTATCTACGTAATGAAATCATTAACTCAATGAGTTCACTAATGATAAGTCCGCGTTGTTACTCCAGTAGTAGTAATGATGTTGTCACTTACAGTCATTAATCACTGGTCACTATAACGTCGCAGGTCCTAAGCAGGTGGTATGCATTTACCTACCTACACTACTTCATCCAATAGTCGATGACTTTATCGCTTGATACTAGTTTTTAGTTTGTCTGCGCTTAGCCTTCTTCCAACCTGAACCGGAAGACTACACGTAAATGCATGTGATAGTTAGACACATTTAGTATATGTCCAGGTATTTGAACTAAAGATTTACAATTCTCAATGTCATCTGCAACTTCAAACTATTGAGCTCAATGGTTTATGTTCTTAACTTCAGTATGTGAAAATAATTTATTGAGATAATCTTCTTCAACAACAAATGTACAATTATCAGTGCTTACTAAGAAATAACCTTCAGTTATAGGACATCGGGTTTACTTGAAGTCATGATAGCCAAACAAAATAACCGCCTTTTCATCCTATTATGCGACTCATCAACAGTGCACATTCACGAACCCCTCTCGTTGGAATCGAACCCTAACCTCTAGACTAGTGAGTCGGCATCCAGAGATGTTAATGTTCAACTTTAATCAATCCCCAAAGTATTGCGCAACCTCATCCATTGTGTTCGGTAGGGTTGGACTCCACTGGTCACAATGATTGACTTATCATTCCAATATAACTCAACTATCTTCACAACTCTATAATGAAAATGATAACTGCTAACAATACTTAATCAATCACTGAAAAATGAACCCAAGAACAATAAAAACAAGTAAATCCATCTGACTAACTAACTATAAATAGGTTAAAATGTACATTCTGGGGATCCGGTTGTCAGCTATTTTCTGATTTTAATAAAAATCCATGATCAAATGTTAATAAAGATTGATTACGTTCAGTCCGTAATATCAATAACAAGGAAATTCAAAAAACCCTTAAAAAATTGTTGGATGAGAGTCAAAAATATCCCTCAAAGTCCAGATATGTATGACAAGGGAGCATCCCATCCAATCAGTGTGTGAACAGAGTCTTGTCAGAATCAGGTGATATGGCTAATTACCTATACTATTATAGTTCCAAAAGATCAAGGTCATATGCAATAATTATAAATACCTTCGTTTTTCGGTATTTGAACTAACCTCAAAGTGAAGCGTCTATTTTTTGAACTTTGTAACTTTTGTTTTGCATTCGATTCCCCGTGCAGATTTAGCCTCAGACTTATAAGAAGTCAGATAAAGGCTTATCAAAATTAAAGAATCTATATTATTCAAGGAACATAATCAACACTAACTCTGAAACCAAATCACAAAAGTTCAAACTGAAAAATTAGTGTAAATTCATAGAAGAAATTACGTGTCATTATAAAATTGGACAGTTATTGGAAACCTAGAAGTACTGTGCGGACTTGTTATCGTGGTAAAGGATATATCGGTAGGTCTTATTCAAGGCCTTCGGTCTTGCACACAAACACTTATTTACTGAACCGACATCCACTAAAGGAAAAGTCTAACTTTAATCGATTTCACATTTTATACTCAATAAATTTTCTCATACATATAGCGTGCATTCTGAATGAATTGAAAATCAACTGAATCGTGTAAGAAAGCGTCTATTCATGAATTGTGATAGCTGTTAGTGTTATTGATTTTTAAATTTCACTTCAACTAATGAAGTCACATATTGAATACTAATCAGTTTAATAGAAGTTAGTTAAAAGTGAAGATCACATTCTATGGGTTCTAGGATTTGTACAGCCGATAGAATTCTTATTTTTTATCATTTCAAATAAATTAACCTCTATGACGGAATGATTATTTACATTGAAGTTGTGAATCAATAATTATTTGACCGGCATTAGAAACCTAGTAGCACTGGACTACTGTTTTGAGACTCATCAACAGTGCGCATTCACAACACCCGCTCATGGGGATAGAACCGAGTACCTTCGGTCTAGTATGTGAAAGTTTAACCTCTAGAAAGTATTGAACAATATACTCTACTGCGTTGATTTAATTATCTCATGCTTGAGTCGACTGATGAGTCCCATACCAGGACGAAACGGCCGTCCAGTGCTATCAGGTTTCTAATGGTGGTCTAACAATGATTGATTGATGATTTCAAATGTGTGAAAACACAAATCTCCAAAGCTCTAATTGAAAATATCATAACAGTGCTCACTAGTGACTACTAGCTTCGTGAGGAAATTCTCGGAGTTCTAGTTGAGAAGACGTGACCAATGAAGTTCAACCCTGTCTAGTGTAGGCAGTAACTACTGAAGACAATTAAGGGTGAGGTCGCGCAAAATCTGTAGATCAATCAGAGTTAGACATTAACACCGTTGGATGCCGACCCAGTGGTTAGGCTTTCTCGCCCAATACCGAAGGTCCCGGGTTCGAATCCTGCCAGGTGCAGGAGTTAAGGATGCACACCTCCTCTGATAAGTCCCATATCAGGACGGATGGTTTATCAATGATTGATTGGTGATTTACTACCTACAACCGACAGGGTTGAACTCCACTAGTCACGTCTTCTCACTAGAACTCCGAAAATTTCCTCAAGAAGCTAGTCACTAGTGAGCACATTTTAAAATATTTTCAATTAGAGTCATGGAGATTAGTATTTTAACAGATATGAAATCATCAATCAATCATTGTTATACGATAACAAAAGTTTTACAAATAGTAGGTCAAACGTGGATAAATAGACTTAAAATAATCATGACAAAAGATTAAAACTATTACGTAATAAGAACTGTGTACATAATCAGATATTAACGGAAAGATGCAGAGAATTACCAGCAAATACACGATGTGAAATTATTGCTAATAATAAAATAAAAATTTTAACGTTAGTTAAGTCATATTCGACCACAGAAGAGATAGAGGTGTCAAAAAATTCTGATGAACACATAAATTGGTGTCGAATGTACGAATTCCTATGGCTTATGCTATATGTAGGAGACGGGATCGAAATCCGTTGAGAAATGATGGAGGTATACGATAGATCTAAACTTACCTACAATATGACCAATATCAAACAGATGTGCTAAGATCAAACTGCGTATTGTTTTTAACTGGCCCTCCATAAACCATGCTGGGAAGTTTAAATAATTAGGATTATGAGGTTTTTGCAATAAAAACTTACAGTTTGGGCATTATTTCAAATCGAAAAATGATTGGATAAAAAATATGTTACTAATTATTGAGAAAAGTAGTATAATTTAAAATGCAAAAAAGTGAGTAATCATACTACAACTTAAATTTTAAAAGAATATATTTCCACACTACAAAGATTTTACTTGAAAGGCTACTTACTACATACTGAGTAATCATGTTATCCTTATTTTGGAACTTTTCGTAAGAGCCAGAAATTTGAGATCATTTGAAAAATTCATAAATTCCGATCCACTAAGTTGTAATTCAAT